GCTTCAGTATCCAATCAATACGTTACTGAAACTGATTAAAATGTATCCAGCCAGCTGCCTATGGCTGTTTAATTAGAAACTGGATGATTCTTAAATTAAAGTTGTTTTGTTTGTGTTGGATGTCCGTAGCTGGGAAGATGAAGCGAGCGGAAAATGGGAGTTGGTGTCTTGTTAGCAGTGGGAGCCCAGGGCCTCCCCACCCTCCCAGGCAGGAATTCCTTCCCAACATCCCATCCAAATCTCCACTTTTCCAGTCTGAAGCCATTCCCTGTGTCCTGTCCTCTCCAGCTCTCCTGGAGCCCCTTCAGGACTGGAAATCTCTCCCTGGATCCTTCTCCTCTCCAAGCTGAACAACCCCTCGTGTTGGCATCTTAATTCCAGCCACCAAAGAAGGAATTAAGATTCCCTTTTGGCTCAGGCTCTGTTGCTGCACGTTCCTTTTCCCAGAATTGTGCCGGATTCACTCCGGGCTCTGTTCCACGCGCGGTAACGCCGCTGCTGCTGCCACCACACTCTGCTCCAGCTCCCTCCTCCTTCCTTATCTCCCTCAGGATCCGGGGCTGACCCGCAGTGGGACAGGCACAAATCCCATTTCCCAAGTTAACCCTGAATTTTTGGCTGTGGGAGAGAAGGAAGGCTCGTGGAAGTTCAGCTGGAAAGGGGAGCAGGGCACAGCACAGAGAGGTGAGGGACCCTCGTTCCCTGAGCTTGGATTCCAGCACCGAGCTGGGTTAAGTGAGACATTGCTGCTCAGCATCTCCTTCCCGTGGCCTCTGCTGCCAGCTGGGCTCTTTTTCCCAAAGTTTGAACATCCAAACGCTGCTATTTGCTGTTTGTTTGCCACTTCCCCAGCAAATCATTTTGCAATCAGCGCTCCAGCATCTGCGGTGGCATTTCGGAGGGAGGGGAGGTTGTGCTGTGAACCAGCACAGCCCCATAAAATCTCCTTTTTCCAACTGCTCTGCACTTTGGCTTCCCTGATTTAACAGCCACAGAGTCAGGCTAATGTCTTTGCTATTGCGGGAGGCAGCAACTGGCAAAGTGGTTATTTCCTAGAAACAATTTGAATTTCTTTCTTTCGATGGCCGTGGGAGAACGTGAGGCTGCTGTCACCGCTGAGCCACGGTCTGACCGTGACGGGCAGGGGCAGCACCAGGCAGAAAAACCAGTTTAAAAGGAGCAAATGTTGGGTGATTTGCTGTGTGGAGCCGTCCTGCAGGGCTGAGTTCTTTTTGCCTGGCTCTGACCCGGCTTTTTGCTGGTGGTGGTTTCTCAGGAATGTCCAGTTTGGCTCTTTCTGTGCCCTCCTGTCTGAAGGTGCTGCTTGCTGCAAGCTCGGCCTTTCCCGAGCTTCTGAGCTCAAAGGAGAAGCTTCAAGCTTTTATTTCTGTTTGGAAATGCTCTGCCCCGGAGACCTCTGGGGTGTGGGTCTGGAGAGCTTCCTCTGCAGCTCCTCAGTGCAGTGTTGAGAGTGAACTCTGGGGAAATGGGATGATATTTTCCAGCCTTTTTGAGGCAAACGATGTCCTGCTGTTTTTAACAAACGTGGCTGACGGATTCCCAAAGCTGTGAGGGAAACGAGGCACGGAAAGGAACCAAAATATCCCTTTCTGAGGCCACTTTGGGAAGTCCAGATGGGCATGAGGAGAAAGCTCCTGGCAAGAAAGGAGGAGCTCCAGTGCTGGGAGAGGCAGGAATCTCCATCCCAGGGGAGGAATTTCTCCCCAATATCCCATCCAACCCTTCCCTGGTCCTGTCCCTCCAGCCCTGGTGACTCTGAGGTTTCCCTGGGCTGGAGGGGAGCGTTGCACGCCTGGATCCCGCAGCCCCATCACTGCCTCTGTCACTCCATCATTTTGTCATCTTTGCTGATGTTGGTGATATTTCTGACTGACTCATTGGCATAGCAGACAGGTCATGGCTTTCCCTTGAATCCTTCCTGCTTGCCAAGGAATTTCTTATTGATTAGAAATCGTTTTTTGTGGGGAAAAAATTGAAGGGATTTATCCCGGTGGCCAGAGGAAGCAGATCTTGTGCTGCTGCAGGCTCCTTCAGTGGTGTTCTTATCGTGGTAAAATAAATGAGTTTTTAAAATAAATGTAATGAATTTTGGCTTCTAGGCAGAGATCACCTTTGTTTTGAGATTTACCATAATGCTAAACTCAGTTTGTGGTGAGGATTTCCTGGGTTTGATGGGAAAAGTTGCTGGAAAAAGCTCAGGGATCTTTGCAAACTCAGCCCCTGCTCGTGCTGTGACCATTTTTGTGTCACTCACACGTGGGCAAGGGGTTTGCAATTAAAAACTAGGGAAAAAAAAAAAAAGAAAATTTAGGAAAATGGGATTTTGCTGCTTTTCCCTGCCTGGTTCTACAATGATGGGTTTGGAGGTGGCACCAGAATCTGGGAGATGAGACTTTGAGTGGGAATATTGGTTTAATCCCCTCCCAGACATCCACAGATTGACTGAAAGTCTGGTTTCCCTCTTTATCCCACGGGATTTCTGGAGCTCATCCCTCAGAACCCTCACAAAGGTCTGAAATCCAGGATTTTAGCGGTGCTGACCACAACCAAAACATCAATTCCACCTTCCACTCCCACAGAACATGCTAGAAAACCCCTTTTTCCCTCCTCACGTGGAAGGGGTAATTACTGCAGCGACTCCAGCCTAATTTGAAGCGTTAGCTGTTAATTAAAACACGCAGAGGTGTAGGGTTGTCTTTTGGTGTAACCAAAGCTCCCGTTCCACCTCCATTAATCACTTTACAGTTATTGTGCTGGGGAAGGGCAGGACAACTGAGATGCTGGATCAGCCTGGAGTAAACAAATTCCTGCCCGTCCTGGCATCCCAAAAGCCCCGGCCACGCTCCCCGGGCGCTCCCCGCTCCTTTGTGATCCAATTCCCAACGATAATTAAATGTTAAATTGGTGCTGTCAGTGCTCTGTAAACCAAACCAGGTATCTGCCCTCTGCTGGAAACCGATCCCGAACTTCCACGGATGAATTAGCGTGCGTCATAATTAAATAATCGAGTCTTCCCTTTATAATTCGCTGGGAAACGGGAGATCTCTCCCATGGAAAAAGGATCAGCTTTCCTGATGAGCTAATTAAGCTGTCCACTCTGCTCCCTATTAAGCCAACAGCTGTGGAGCATCTTCTTCATCCCTTATTCCTGCTCATCTGAAATGTTTTCCCACTGTTGATTCATCCCCAAAGCTCCTGGATTTGGCTCTATCAAAATTCCCATTGATAATCTCATTTTTTACATTCATTTTTTTCCACTCTGCCTTCTTAAATTCTGATTTTTTTCCCCCAAAAATCTGGTGCCACTCCATTCCTTAAATATCAATCCAGGAGTTCTTGAATTGAGGTGAAGGTTTTAGGGATTTCCAAGCCATTACCAGAAGTTTGGAGGAGAAAGGATCAGCTCATGGATTCATGGATTCATCTCTATCAAAGTTCCCATTGATAATCTCATTTTTTACACTCATTTTTGTCCCTTCTGCCTTCTTAAATTCTGATTTTTTCCCCCTTAAAATCTGGTGCCACTCCATTCCTTAAATATCCATCCAGGAGTTCATCATCCCTTATTCCTGCTCATCTGAAATGTTTTCCCACTGTTGATTCATCCCCAAAGCTCCTGGATTTGGCTCTGTCAAAATTCCCATTGATAATCTCATTTTTTACATTCATTTTTTTCCCCTCTGCCTTCTTAAATTCTGATTTTTTTCCCCCTAAAATCTGGTGCCACTCCATTCCTTAAATATCCATCCAGGAGTTATTAAATTGAAATTTTTAGGGATTTCCAAGTTTAATTATTTTAAGTATTAATATATTAAGTGTTAATATTAATTAATTAAATATTTATTATAATACTAATTAAAAGTATGAAGTATATTTAATTATTTTAAGTTATTTCCAAGCCATTACCAGAAATGAGGGGAGCGCTCAGGGTTATAAATAAGATTAAATGATGTTTTTCACCTCTTTGGGTGATTTTGCATGCAAAAAAACCCCAAAAAACCCAAGTATTAAAGCTTTTCTTCTTCACTAATAATTGCTGGAGGTACAGAGAGGTAAAATATTGGAATTTTTTTAAGTTGCTGCCACATTTCTGACAGTGCTGCCATAAATCAGGGTGAGACAGTAAAACCAGTGAAGAGGAAAACTTTAATGGTTTTGTTTTTATGCAAAATTACATTGGATTTTGAGGAGGTTTTGGGGTTGGTTTTTTTTTTAATCTACTTTTATTTTCTCACGTGGTCACGGTTAGAAATATTCAAATCATTGTTAAATAGCTAATTATGGGTGTTTCTCCTCAGAAATTAAGATAAACTGTTGTTAAAATACCCTGGAAAATTATTTTGGCTACATGTGAGCATCAGCAATAATTTTTTCATGTCCCCTCTAACCATAAAATAAATGCAGAAATTGAATTTTGCCAATTTTTTTCTGTGGCTCCTTAAGTTCTGAGAAAGAATTGGCCATAATCTGTTTTAATTTGATTTAATTGGTGCAGCTGCTTGTCTCTGAAAACACCCACAGGACTGGCAGATTGCTGAGATAATCCTGATTTTCCATGAAAATTCTGAATTAGCGGTGATCATCTTAATTAATTCCATTGGAATTAAAATGGGAAAATGGAAAAATTCAAGGTTGGACTCAAAGATTTAAGGTTGGACTTAATTTTGGGGGTCTTTTCCAACCAAAATGATTTGGTTGAATTCCCATTAATAGTTTAATTTTCTGCTGTATCAATGTTTCCATGTGTGTATTTTATATCAAAAATAAAGATACAATCCCTGATGAGTGGTTCCCTTGAAAATTTATTTTTCATCCCTTTTTTTCCTCAGTTTTCCTTTAGAAATGCTGGATAAAATTGGCTTTATGCAAAATTTAGAAGGGAAAACTCATTTTTCTGTGAAATGAACATATTTATCTTGCACATCCTCACAGAGGGAATTTTATATCATCTCAAATTATCAAATTTTTTCCTCACCCAGGGCTTACCATGTCCGGAGTGGAAAAATCCTGGCAGTGAAGGTAAGAAATTCCAGATATTTTATTTTTTTCCAGCTTTTTCTGCCCTTGCTTTCCTTCCCTTCCCTCTGATTTTTTTTGCTCTCAATTTGATTTAGTGCATTAATTTATTTCTTTCCAGGAAATCTATTTATTCCATTATTTATTCCTTTATTTATTCCTTTATTTATTCCTTTATTTATTTACAGGAAAACCTCAGCCTGTAAATTTGGTTATTCCCAATGAGTTCAGATTTCCCAAAATTCAGGATTTTTCCACAAGGAATTGCCTGAAAATTCCACATTTTGGTGTCTCCGTGGATGTTTCCAAGGGCTCCTTGTTTGGATTAAATTTGGAGTCTGTAGAATTTTATAATCAAAAAAAATTCCAATTTTCTCTGAAATTCACTCAAATCTGGCATAAAATACCAGCAACAGCATGGCAGCTCTTGGCTGCAATTTGTTAATTAAATTAGAAGATTTGTAAATGAAATTATTAATGGTTCATCTGCACAAAAATAAGCTAAAAAAATTGAATTTTTCAATGTGTTAGATTTTTTTTTTCCAGTTTTTTCAGTGGAGATTCAGAAAAATTGTTGAGTTCATGTAATTCCAATTAATAGTTGGTGATCTAAAAAAAAAGAAAAAAGGTAAATTTTAAAATATTGTTTATGGAATAATTACTTAAAAATCTGGGGAAATAAATGGGGTTTTAATTAATTTTTTCTGCCCTTTAATCCTTAAATTCTGGGATAATTGGGATAAAGAGTGGGAGAGGAGGAGTGGTCAAAGCAGGATTGAAATGCAATTTAAAAAGGAAAGGTTATACAAGATTTAAATGAAAAAATTTCCATTTATTGAGCAAAATTTGTGTGGTTTGACCTCAGATTTGGGCTCAGCTTGTGGCTTCAAAATTTATTAAAATTATTTATTAAATTTATTAAAAGGAGTTTTTGATGTGTTTTTACACAGGAATTCTCTGTGTTCTGATGGGCACAAAAGGACGGAAAACTAAACAATAAATGTGATTTTTTTAATTACAATTAAAACTTTTATTATCATTGATTAACTTATTATTATTACAATTTAAAACTTTATTACAATTTAAAACTTTATTACAATTTAAAACTTTAAGTGTGGATCTAAAAAAAGCTCCAGTGTTTCCTCAAATTGGCTTTTTTGAGCTCCATCCGCGACCTTAAGGAGCGCCAGGAAGTTCTGGGAATTCTGGGAATTCAGGGAATTCTGGGAATTCAGGAAGTTCTGGGAATTCTGGGAATTCTGGGAATATAATATAATATAATATAATATAATATAATGTAATATAATATAATATAATATAATATAATATAATATAATATAATATAATATAATATAATATAATATAATATAAATCTTTATATAATAATATGATATAATAATTATATTATTATGTCTATATATTATATAATATATATATTACATTATATTATTATATAATAACATATTACAATTACAACCATATATAACATACATGTTATAATATTATATAATATATATCTATAATATATATTATATATGTTCATATTATAGCATATTGTATACATTTTTATTTTATATTACTATATAATATATTTCTATTGCAGATTTTATATATTGTATAACACACATTATAAGTAATTTAGATAATAGATCATTTATATTATATATAATTCTAACATATGTAATTATATTATATATTTATAGATAATGTATTTTATTTATATAGTATATTTAATATATTATATAACCCACATTATAAATAATTATATGATAGATAATTATCTATAATTCTAACATGTAGAATGATATATTTATATTTTTAATTTAATATATATTGTATGTATTATATATAATAATATATATATTATAACCTACATGATAAGTAATTTATATAATAGGTCATTTATATTATATATAATTCCAATATATGATTTTACATCGTACTAAAAAGCAATTAATTAAATTCCTTCTATCTTGACACCAGCAGCAATTAAAGAGGATTTCAGGACCAAATTCTTGGCATGATCCTCACACAGATCCAATATTTTGACCCAGAATTGTCAGGATTCAGGAGAGGGATCTGGGAAAGCAAAGTTTTGCATTTTGGAGCTTTTTTTACTGATAAAACACAGATTTAATTAGAAAAAACAACCCAAAACCTGTTGATTAAACCACTTTCAGCTGGTAAATAATAAACCAAAAGCAAATAATCCATAACACAATCCCTCAGTGATGCACCAAATTCCATATTTTATATATAATATAAAGATATTTTCCATATTTTCCATAATCTTAACCTCCAGAGGACTTAATTTATTTTTCCAAGTCAATTTTTTCTATTTAAAGGGGGAAAACCCAAGTGAAAACTGAATTTGCACTTGATTTTTGCCACTCTCCCCCTGCTTTTAGCTGTGATTTCAATTTGTTTAATTTAATTTTATTGTGATTAATCATTTGTACACTGATTTCCTTTGAGCTGTACACACCATAAAAGACAACGATGTCAGCCTGGATTAAAATTGGAAATTAAAGCAGAATATTTTGAATTTGACCCCGTGATTTTTTTGCTCTGCTTCCCTTTAGCACCACTGCAGCAAATGGAGAGAGTCATCCCTGACAGCCCGTGATGAATTGCTGTATTTATATTTATTTGGGATATTTTAATGGCCTCTCACTAATTCTAATTGAGCAAGGGAGTAAATTATAATTCACTCACTCAACTGCCAGTTCAGCTCGGGGTGGATTCATCCCTCTCTCCAAAGTTCAGCCCCAGTATGGCTCCAAAATCAGATTTTTTTGGGGTAAAAACTTGATCAGAGGAAGATAAATTTCTTTTTTAAATTGCTTTTCTGCTCCAAAATCCTTCCCCAACTCAACCATTCCAACCAATGTTGACCCTGGATAAATCCTGGCCAGGAATCTCACTCGGGTGATTCCAGGGAAATGATGATTTGTGCTGCAAAGGTCTTTCAAAAGGGGAAAAAAAATCAGGAAATTTTGGGATTTAGGAAAAAAAAATCCAATTATTTCATGTTCCATCTCATTGTGTCAGCTGTGGAAATTGTCCAGGTTGATTTGGGATTCTCCATCCCTGGGATATCCAAAGCCAGGGATAGTGGAAAGTGAAATGAGATCACTTTGAGGTCCTTTCCCACCCAAACCATTCCAGAATTCCAGGAATTCCCATCCAAATCTTCTTTTTCACAGCTCCATCCTCAGCAGCAACGACTCTGAGATCTTTTTTTAGATTATTTTCTTTCCTGGAAGATTTTTCTTTTTGTTTTACCCATCCAAAATAAGCTGGAAAATTTTAGTACAAAAGGAGATGATAAATGAAGGTTAAGGTGGGATCTAAAATATAAATTTCAGTCTTTTTGTGCTGTGAATAAATAAGGTTCCTCCAGCCTTGCCATCAGGTGTGGGGTCACACATTTCCAGGTGGAAGAAAACAGTAAAAAAATTATTAATTAATAAACATTAATTATTATAATTATATTATATTGATTATAATAATAGTAAATAAATTTATTAATTCATTTTGGGGTGAAATAACCTTGTAATTCCTCTGTGCCCTTCCCTTGGTGTCCTGAGCACCTGGAGATGGAAAAACTCTGCTTTTCCCAGGTTATCCTCATTATTGGGATGTTTCTAATTAGTGTTAATGCAAACAAACCCAGACTTTTCCTCCTTCTAGGCCTGGCTTTTTGGGATCTCGGGGATATTTTTTGCTGCTGGGGTCAGAGGAATTCCTCAGTGGGATCAGAACTGAGATAAAATTTCAATTTTACACCCCTGCCAAGATGGAATTCTGGTGATTCTCAGTGAACACAACTGCTGGGATCCCAGCAGATGAATTCCTAAGGTTTTCACACTGGAAAAAAATACCTGGAATATTGTTGGCAAATGATTATTGATCTGGACAAGCGTGTTAAACGTTTCTTGGCAGCCCTGTATTCCACTTACAATTTAGTTTAGTGACAGCTTTTATAAATAACCCCGCAGCCAGCTCTGGGAAGAGGCAGCTTATTGGTTTTTCCTGGAGACAGATTTTGGTGCTGCCTTTGGAAATGGGCTCCCTGTGTTCTGTTCTGTCCTGTCAGCGCTATTCCTGTCGTGTTTATTCCGCTGATTCCGAAATCTGAGTAAATTTTGCTTCCCCTTTAGATTAAAGTATGAAATTGTGAAGTGTTGGGTGGGGGCAGACTGAGCCTGGCTTAAAGCGCTGAGCCCGGCTTGCTTTGTAAAGCAGAGCTTAACAACCGAGTTTTGCGATCTTCAAAGAGTCCTGGCAAAGAATTCTGTGTTCAATTGGATTTTTGGTGCCTTCCTAACAGGGTCTGACCTGAAAATCCTGGGAATTTGGAGCTCTGGGAAGTGCGGCCCACTGTGGCTGCAGTCCCGGCTGCTTTGGGCCTGCAGGGAGCTGGGATGGGGAGAGAGGAGGGGAGGATGGTGAAGGAGAGGGATAAATTTCCCAGTGAGGGGCTGGGAGAGCTGCTCCAGCTCAGCTTGGGTGTTTTCCAAGGGTGGAGCTGGGCTGGGAGAGCTGGGAATGTTCCCCTGGAGAAGGGAAGGATCCAGGGAGAGCTGGGAATGTTCCCCTGGAGAAGGGAAGGAGGTCCAGGAGAGCTGGAGAGGGATTTGGGATAAGGGACAGGACACAGGGAATGGATTCAGAGTGGAGAAGTGGAGATTTAGATGGATATTGGGAAGGAATTCCTCTCTGGGAAGGTGGGGAGGGCTGGGCTGGAATTCCCAGATTTGCTGTGGCTGCTCCTGAATCCCTGGAATGTCCAAGGCCAGGCTGGAGCAGCCTGGGACAGTGGAGGTGTCCCTGCCCTGGCACTGGACGAGCTTTAATTTCCCACCCAACCCAAATCACTCCAAGATGATCAGTCAATCCTTTCATTTCCATTTCCTCCCGTTAAAATCTTCTTTCTACCTCTTCCTCTCTTTTCTTGTTATCCCACAGGGATTCTTAGTCCATGGCTCTTCCTTTGAATAATCCCCTTTTACATGAACCCTGTATTTCTGTGTTCCAGGTGATACCCTTGGATATAACCCTGGAGCTCCAGAAGCAGATCATGTCCGAGTTAGAAATTCTCTACAAGGTGTGTGGATTTTACCACTGGAATTCTTCTTGCTTCAGTTTTCCTCCAGCAGATTTTAAAACAGCCTCATGGCTTTCTTTTTTTTTCTTTTTCTCTCTTTTCCCCAGTGCGACTCCTCGTATATCATAGGATTTTATGGTGCTTTTTTTGTAGAAAACAGGATTTCATTGTGCACAGAGTTCATGGATGGTGAGTAGTGGATCCAGTTTGCTTTTGATTGCCGACTCGTTAAATGAGAAAGGAAATTTATTTACTTTTTTTATTTTCCCTGCAGAATGAAATGCAATGGTAACACTCAAAAATGTGCAGCATTAATAATATTGCAGGTAGTTAAAAAAACCCAGAGCAGGTTGGGATCGGGATTGGGGGATATTCTGCATTTTCCCTGCGTGGAACTTCGCTTACTTTTATGGAAAATGTAAATAGAAGAGAAATAAACGCAGCCTTAATTTGTGGTTTGATATTTGAGCCTCCCGTGCAATCTGTCCTCGCTGACAAAACAGCTGTTCCTCACTTGTAGTGTTTTGATAGCCAAAACAGCTTTTCCTTTCAAGAAATCTATTAACCCAATGTCCTGGGTGTTTGCAGTGGAAATCGTCTCTTAATTACCAGGCAAGGAGTTATTTTCCAGCCCAGCTGTTTCCCAGCTCGCTGCCGAGCTCCTTCTCCTTCCTCCCCACGCGAATCCTCAGCCCAAAAACCATCCCCAGACCCCTGCAGAGCCCTGCCTGGGGAATTCTGGATATTCCTGCTGGGACAATGCCCTGGTGGCAGCGGTTTTGTAACCCTGGCTGCTCTCTGCCAGGTGTTTTTGTGGCAGATGCCGTCCCTGCGTGTCTTCCCAACCTTCCCCGTGGAGCCAGAGCCTGCTCATCCCACCAGGATTCCCTTAGGAACCAGCATTTGATGCCCCTGCCAGGTTTTCCCTGGATCCTTCCCTTCTCCAGGGGAACATTCCCAGCTCTCCCTGGATCCTTCCCTTCTCCAGGGGAACATTCCCAGCTCTCCCTGGATCCTTCCCTTCTCCAGGCTCTGGATCCTTCCCTTCTCCAGGGGAACATTCCCAGCTCTCCCTGGATCCTTCCCTTCTCCAGGTGAACATTCTGTTGAGTTGAGGTGTAAAAGATCTCCCAAATAATTCACTTTGTGGCAGGGATAAAAACAAAATAAATCCCCCAACCTGTTTGACACCGTTGAGCAGCTTCCTCCTTTCTGATGGGTGAAGGCCTTCAGGGTTTATGGTGCATTTTGTTTTCTCCTCGTTAAAATCGTGTTTTTACTGTTATTTCTCCCTTTTTACACTTTTCCCTCCCTCCCAGTGATGGCTGCACCCCTTTTCCAGTGTTCTCTCAGATTCTCTGGGTGAAAAAATGGGATTTCATTCAGTGTTTTATTTATAAAAACCCCAAACCCCACGAGTTAAATTATTCCTTCCTTTAGGGTTGATGGTGCATTTTGTTTTCTGCCTTTTAAAAACAATCTGTTACTTTGATTTCTCCCTTTTTACACCCCCACCTCCCTCCCAGTGATGGCTGCACCCACTTTTCTCTCAGAAAATGGACAAAAAACTCTTTTATTCAAGGTTTTGTTTTAAAAAAAAACCCCAAAACCCCCACGATTTTATTTTGCTGTTGTGGTGACTCTTTGCCCTCTCACACACAGAGAGGGTAAAACCTGCTGCCAAAACCAACAGCTGCCTGGAGCAGCTCCTGAAATTCCCATTGTGCTCCCAAAATTTGGTGATTTTTTTCCAAAAAAAAAATTCAGGAATAATCAGGGAAATACAATAATAATTATATATATAATTATATATATAAAATATAATAGATATATTATAAATATACCAAATATAAACAAATAAATAAATAAAATATATATTAAAATATATACATAATGAAATATATAATAATAATCAGGAAATAATAAGAATAAATAGGGACAGGAAGGTTCTGAATTCCTGTTGGAAAAGATTTCAGCCTTTAGGCAGAGTTTACTGCCCATGCAGAAAGGGCTGGGAATTATTCTGGAGCTGACCCCATGATCTGCCTCATGTTGTGCTCTCCTTCTGGCACAAAGCACCAGCAATTACTTTAAAGGAAGAATAAAATGCAAATAATTTAATTTAAATTACTTAAAGGAAGAACAAAATGCAAATAAAAGGGGCCTTGCCTTGTTTTTATCCCCCCATCCACCCAGAGCTTTAATTTTTATTCAGAAGGATGCAGGAAAAGGGAATAAAAAAATCACTTTTCATCCTGCAGATGAACTTTGCCACATTTTTGAGCTCTTTTGGCTGTTTTAGTTTCTGTTTGCTGAATCCATGTCCCAGGACTGCAGATCCCAGGAATTTCCTTTATGGATAAAAGGAATTTCCTTTATGGATAACCTGGATCTGAGTCTTTTGGAATGCTCAGGGGCACAAATTGGTGCTTCCCTGGTACCTGCAACCAGGAAAAAACCCCAAATAATTCCAAACCTTCAAACACCAAAGCCCTGAGGTTGAGCTGACCTGGATCAGCCAACTGATTTTAAAGAGCAGCAGAGATGTGAAATGAGTTTTTCCCTTTATATTTGGAATAAAGTCGATGTTTTGGATGAAGGTGGTGAAGTGCTTTTCACTTGGGTGGGTGCCTCTTTCCCTTGAAAGTGCTGAATTCCTGCTAAATTCCCCTTGGAAAACAAGATGTGACCAGAGTGCACCTGGATTTCTGTACAGGTGTGGCACCTGACATTTTTGGAGTTGGAAAAGTTTCTGGGTTTTTTACAGAATTTTTTTCTCCACCAAAAAAACTCTTGATTTCCTCATTTTTTTTATGCAAAAAAAATGCTTTCCTTCATTTTTCCTGCCAGCTGTAACAGCCAAATTTGGCATTTTGGGGTGTGATGAAAAGAAAAAAAAGCTTTTTTTTTTTCAATAATAGAAGGATATGTTACAGGGGTGAACAGGCCATGTGATTTCTGTCTGTGTTTCTGTTTGTAAATCAAATTTCCATCCCCACAGCATTTATATTTCCTCTTAAAACTGGCATTAATTATAAACCACGTGTGAACAGCACAGATAAAATTTAATGAAGGACTGGAGTTTCAATAACTCGGAATCAGAAACCAAACTGAGTTTGTTTCTGACAGTGAAAACCACAAGGGGAAAAAAAATCAAACCCAAAATCCCACCCCAACCTGCTCTTTTTCAGTTTGTCCATTTATTTGCTTCATTCTGCTTGCAGATTTATTTTTTTTTTTAATTCTCATTTTTAAATTTCTTTTCTTGCCTTAAGAATTTGTATTTCAGCCCAGGGATGTTTTGGACACCGGTTTGATTTTTTTTTTGCAGAAGAAAAGGGAGATTTCCCAATCCCTTGGGAATGTCTGGAGGGATTTTTTTAGAGGGAATCCCACATCCCCACAGATCTGTGCCAGGTTCTTTCTAAATTCTGGATTTCCTGGGAAAATTCCAACTGCTTCCCCAGGAAATCCAGAAATTTTATTTCAGCCATCGGCGTGGACACAGCCAAACCCTCCCTGGTGTGATGTCAGGAGGAAATGGCTTTAATCATGGACATAAAATGGATATTTATAGCCATTTAAATGGCTATTTATATCCATTTAATTGGGTATTTATATCCATTTAATCATGGGTAGAAATATATTGGATACCACGGAATGGTAGCACCAGGCTTTGGGGACAGGAGTTGGGATACTTTGGACCCTCAAATCTGCTTTTTGGGATGATTTTGTTATTCCCAAGACTTTTTTTCCACGCAGTTTGGAGTTCTTTAATGTTGATATTCTGTGTCTGGGAGGTTTTGTTGCTGCTGATTTCTGAGTGTTAATGCTAGAAGCAAAACAAAAAAATAAAAAAATCAGGAATAATCAGGGAAATATAATAATAATCAGGAAATAATAATAATAAATAGGGGAAATCAGTGTTGTTCTGTGTGTTTGTGCAGAGTTTGGGGGGTTTTTAGGGTCAGATATTTTCTGGCACAGTTATTTTCTGTCACTGGTGGTGTTTTTATGAATAACCAAGGCCTAGGAAACGCTTGGAGGCTGCAGATCTGGGGCACTTTTCAGCTGTGCTGTTTGTCCCTGCAGGGGGATCTCTGGATGTTTACAGGAAAATTCCAGAACACGTTCTCGGGAGGATAGCAGTGGCTGTGAGTAATTTATTGCTTTTTATCTCTCTGGTTTTGTTGTTTTGGGGTTTTTTTTTTTGGGTTGTGGGCGTGGGGAATTTGTGATTTTTGGGTGTTTTTTGGGGCGGGAGAGGAGGGTTCCTCCTGCTGCTCCTCCAAACCCTGCTCAGTCTGGGATGAAGGAAAACTTCCTCTGGAATGACCAGCACAGCTTCTGGAGGTTCATGGGATGCTGCAGGGATGGGATTTCACTCCTGTGAGGAAAAGCTGGAGAGGAGAAGGATCCAGGGAATCCTCAGAGCTCCAGGAGAGCTGGAGAGGGATTTGGGATAAGGGATGGAGGGACAGGACACAGGGAATGGCTTCAGAGTGGAAAAGTGGAGATTTAAATGGGATGTTGGGAAGGAATTCCTGCCTGGGAAGGTGAGGAGGGGCTGGGCTGGAATTCCCAGATTTGCTGTGGCTGATTTGGATCCCTGGAATGTCCAAGGCCAGGCTGGAGCAGTGGAGGTGTGGAGTGGGGTGGAGCTTTAGGATCCCTCCCAATCCAAACCTTTCCAGGATTCTGTTACACAAATCCATGTGGAAGGATGGGATAAATAGAATGGGATAGGGGAAAAATAAAAATAAAATTTCTGGAGCTCTGTGTGGTCACATCCCTCCCTACCAGCATTTCTTCCCATCAGGATGGAGCAGTGCTTTCAATCAGCTTTGTTTGTTTGAATATTTATTATTATTATTATTAAATTATTATTATTAAATATTTTAAGCCCCTCTGCTCTCTGTGCAGGAGGAGGTTCAGGATCTCTCAGGGTGTCATTTCCATCCTGACTGTCCTTAATTCTGCCTGGAATTAGGCAGGATTTCCTTGCCAGCCTGGAGGTTTAAGTTGGTTCCTGCCACCAAAATGCAGTGGCAGAACAGATTTTGTGTCTTCTCCTCAAGTCTGGTGAGGAGGGTGAAGTTCTTCCCTTGGCACAGGCCGGTCTCTCACACCTGAGCAGCCCCAGGGAAGAGTTAATTGGGGTCGTTTTTGGGGTGGTGAGGCTGTGCTGACAGAAGAACCCGCAGATCTCCTGGGTTTGGTCTTGAGGTGTTGGCAGTGGGATCCTTCAATCCCCTGGTAGCTCATCCTGGGGGCTCTGCAGCCTTCAGCTGCTAAAAATCCACTGAAAACTCAAATTACAGACCAACAGAAAATGTAAAAGCTCCCCAAAAATCCATCTTTCCCCACAGCTGAGCACAGGGTAATGACCAATGTCTCAGTGGATCTCACCAGGGAGGGAGATACTGCAAAACAATTGCGAAATAATAAGGAACACTTTGATAACTTAAGCAGTTTAAAGCATAACAAAGTTATTCTATCATGTGCCATTTAATTAAGTGCTGGCTTTTCACATTCATTATACATCAAGCTGACAATTTAAATCCTTTAATCCAACACAGGCAGCTATTTAGTCTGTGTTCATTGTAATTCACAGCTCTCCTTTCCTCTTAATTTGTGTGGCCTGCCCAGGGTGATGAACATCCCTCTCTGATGCCGTTTCCTCTCAGCAGCTTCAGATCTGCTCATTATTATCCCTGGCAGTTCCTTGTGGAATTTGAGTGCTTTTCACTTCAGTTCAGAGGGAAAACCTCCTCATCTCCTCTCCCCTCCGGAGCAGGGAGTGGGAAGTTGCTCACACGATTCCTGGTTTTCCTGATGAGGATGGTTTGATAATCCTGGGCTGGCCTTCCAGCATTCCTTCAGCTCATTCCTTCTCCTTTTCCTTCTCTCACTGGTGGTTTGATCCATCCACACCTGGGTTTTGTCTCTCCCCCATCCTCCCCTTGGCATTCCACAGGTGTTCTCCAGTTTTCCTCTCATCCCTGATGCTCCAACCCCACCTTTTATGTCTCCATATCTGGATTTATTTATTTTTTTTTTAATTCCCCTCGGGGTCATTTTGTCCCTGATCACTCAGCCTGTGAGCCTGACTCCCTGACACGGACATTTCACTTTTCCTAGTTATTTTATTTCCTGCTTTCCCCGTGCCCACTGCAGAGCAGGGGGTCAGGAATGAGGGGAACAAAGGAGTTCAGAGAAGGGAATTTTCACCCTTTCCTCCTGCTCCCTGAGCAGAAGGTGAGCGCTGAGCCTGAACCTGCAGCTCCTCCGCTCTGGTGCTGATTTTTGGTGCAGCAGAATCCTTTTGTTTTCCCTGGAATTCCTCAGTGGCACAGGAATTTGAGCCTCCTTGAGTCTGAGGTGGCAGCAGAGCCTTTCCCGGGGGCTGGGGCTGCACAGACCCCGTCATCCCCCTGAATTTGGGATTACCCAAATCCTGGGATTGCTGCCACACAAAAGCTGCAGCTCACACGGATGGATTTTGACAACAAAACCTGAAGTTTCCATATTGTTTTCCCCCCGCAGTCTGGTTTTTTTTGCCCCTTCCCCATGTCCAAAGCCTTTTATTTCTCCCAAGACACGTCCAGTGCAGGAATCCATGGAAGCTGCTCACGTCTCTTAATTGGAATTTGCATTTGTGGAAGTTTTTTTTGAAGTGAAACCATTTCCAGAGGAAGAGGATGGAGCTCATCCAGGCGTTCCCTGCATCCCAGCACTCCTTTGGTGCCAGCTTTGGGATTGCTGTGGTTGGACTCGTTGATCTGGGAGGGCTTTTCCAACCAAAATGGCACCACTGGGTTTGTCTTTCTCATCCTCTGCCCTCTCAACCTGACTTTTCGTGGATGTGAAATCTCAGAGAGGCCCCAGAGCTGCTCCAGGGGTTGGAGCCAGGCTGGGAGAGCTGGGAATGTTCCCCTGGAGAAGGGAAGGATGCAGGGAGAGCTGGGAATGTTCCCCTGGAGAAGGGAAGGATCCAGGGAGAGCTGGGAATGTTCCCCTGGAGAAGGGAAGGATCCAGGGAGAGCTGGGAATGTTCCCCTGGAGAAGGGAAGGATCCAGGGAGAGCTCAGAGCCCCTTGCAGAGCCTGAAGGGGCTCCAGGAGAGCTGGAGAGGGATTTGGGATAAGGGATGGAGGGACAGGACACAGGGAATGGATTCCTGTCCAACCTGGCCTTGGACATTCCAGGGATCCAGGGGCAGCCCCAGCTGCTCTGGGCACCTGTGCCAGGGCCTCTCCACCTTCCCAGGGAGGAATTCCTTCCCAAAAATCCCATCCATCCCTGCCCTCTGGCACTGGGAGCCATTCCCTGGGTCCTGTCCCGCCATCCCTTGGGAACAGTCTCTCTTCATCTTTGTTTTTGGTTCCTTCAGGCACTGGAAGTTCACAGCTGGGGCATCCTGGAGCTTCTCCAGGCTGGACAATCCCAGTTCTCTCAGCCTTTCCCACAGGAGATGGGGAGGGATCTCTGCCCTCACCCTGAGATCCATCCCAGTTCCCTCTGTGAGACCCCATCAGCGAGAAGGGGAAATCTCTCAAAAATCTTTCTCGAAATCTCCCTCCTTCCTCCTGTTTTGATTTGTGAGGAGCGTTTCCCTGAAGGAAAATCAGATTTTGGGAGCCCCAGAGCGCTGCTGGGGCTGCTGCTGCGGCACTGCTCCATCCTGGGGGTGTAAAACCCTCTCTCCCTTGGCTTTGCCACTTCACACATTTATTTTCCCTTCCATTTCTGAAGCAGTGACATTGTGCTCCGTGTTTTGAGCGCCGCTGTTGATTGAAGTTCTCCCTGAAAGGATGTGCACTTGAACTGTCAGCAGAGTGAGTGATTGACAGCAGGTGGAAGCACTTTTTGTGTCAAGGCTTTGTCAAGGCATTGTTGTAAAAACCTCCTTTACTGAATGCCAATAATTCCTGCTCCAGCTTCACTCAAAAGAATCTCCCTTCCAGTTTTAGAATGGTATTTAATGCTTGAGAGTCCTTCCCTAACAGGCAAATGTAAGGGGAGTGAATAACGAGGTGAGTCCATTTGGGGGGCTCCTGTGAGCAGATTTACAGCCCAGGATAAAGGGAAAAAACTCCTTTTTTTTTATTCCTTTGTGCACCCAGAGAATCTGGAGGGTGAGTTTGGTTAATTCCATGGCTTCCCTCACTGCTTGCCCAGCACATGTTCCATAATAAAGATGTTTAATAACTCACAGCTGTTGATTTGTTTCATGAGAAATGTTTCCCCCTTTTTATTCTTATTTTTTAAATGGATGCTTGCTTTAAACTAAATCACTTCCTATGGTTTTAAAGATTTTCAATAGTCTAAATACATTTTTAATAATCAAAGAGCTTACTGTCCTGAAAATCCCTTTGGCCATCAGAGGAAGCTTGAAATCTCCTTGATTTATTTTTGCATTGATCCTTTATTACTTTAATTATTATTATTACTGTATTGTTTTATTTAATTATTATTATTTTTATTATTATTACTGTAATTGCATTATTATTATGTCAGAACTCTGTGGATAGAATTTCCATTTGCTTTACATAAGGCACGGAATCCTAGAAGGATGAAAGTTGGAAAAAAGCCTTTAAGATCATCAAATCCAAGGGTTTTGAAAGGCTTGAGGTGATCAAGCCACACCTCTGGGTGGGCAGAATTTGACCAAAGCTTTTGTTAAAGGTAAAAAGCATCTGAGGCCAGCAGATAATTTGGTTTGGAGTGAGTTTGAGGGAGGAATTACCTCCTGGAACAATTCATTTGGGATCCACCATCATTATTTGTTTGACCAATCTGATTCCACCAACATCATTTTTCTTACAGAATAAATTTTAAATTTTGAAAGAGTTTCTAATCCAGGAGGAAGGCAGAAAATCACTGTGCTCTCTGCTTTCACTCTCTATCATTTTTAGCACTTCTGCTTGATCACTGCAACACAAATAATTTCATTTTGGCCTACTCAGAGCACAAAAAAATGTAATTGTCTTGACTGCAGAATTCAAACAACTTCTGCAGTGTCAGAAACGCTTCATTGTTCTGGAGATCCATGAGGAAAACGTCTTGGAAACGGAATTAAATTTCTCCTCAGGGATGGAAAGTGTTTAAAGGAGGCAGCAGGGATGGGCTGGGAAGGGCAGCAGTGGTTGAAATGGCTTGGTTGAATTTTGGGCTGGGGTTTGGAGTTTGGCTTTAGCAGCTTTGGTGCTGGAAGGAGCAAATTTTGAAACTTGCCCAGGTTTAGGAGTTGGATTTACTTGTAGGAATTGTATTTTAGGGGCTGGATTTACCTGTAGGAATGGTGTTTTAGGAGTTGGATTTGTAGGAATTGTATTTTAGGAATTGGGTTTACCTGTAAGAATTGTATTTTAGGATTTACCTGTAAGAATTATGTTTTAGGATTTGGATTTACCTGTAGGAATTGTATTTTAGGATTTACCTGTAGGAATTGTGTTTCAGGAGTTAGATTTACCTGTAGGAATTGTATTTTAGGGGCTGGAATTATTTGTAAGAATTGTATTTTAGGATTTACCTGTAGGAATTGTATTTTAGAAGCTGGATTTACTTTTAGGAACTGTGTTTTAGGAGCTGTAATTTCTCTGCTGAGGGATGCAGCAGGATTTGTGTTTGGTCCAAAATGAGAGGAGAATGAGGGAATTTCTACAGCTCAGGAAGAAAAGTTCCACGTTTGCACTGAGTAAATAAAAACCAGGAAAGTAAAGGAAAAGGCACAGGATTGAGGAAATGGAAAAAAGGGAAAGGAGGATGAAGTGGAAGAGGTTATTAAGAGATTTTTTTTGCTTTCCATCCTCTGGCCTTCAGGATTCTGATCAGCCCAGCACAGGCAGGTGAATTAAAGATACACTGAGATGCCTGAAGGGATTCAGTGTGAGCTCAGCTTACAGGTGCTGGGGAAAAATTAATTTGTGTATTAATAATTGGTGTATTGGTAAAGGCCTTTAAATACATTTTTAATAATCAAAATAAAAATCATGAATAAAGGACCTGCTGCAGGTTTTTAGCAGGGGAGGGAGGTGGAGTCTCCCCTTTTCGTGGTCCTGCCCTTCATTCTTACTGTTGAGTTCTCTGACCTCCCACCCTAGCTGAAATGTGGAATTTTTCATTTCAGGAATCCCTAAAATGTGATTTTTCTTTCTTTTACCTAAAGGTTGTGAAAGGCCTGACCTATTTATGGAGCCTGAAGATTTTACACAGAGGTGAGTAGCAGATGTTTTCTGTTCCCCAATGAAATTTTAACACCACTTCTCTCCAAAGACACTTGACCAAGCAGACATCTGCTTTGGGTCCAGTGGGTTAGTGCAGAATGAATCTTACTCATTAACCTTGCAGACTTTCTTGTAAAACATTTTTATTGCTCTTTTTACTGCCCACCCTCCTCCCCTGAAAAGGACTGAAGAGAGAAATGAATTTTTACAGGGATTTAAAAGCTTAGGGTTGCAAACAGGTGCCTGGTAAAAAAATCAGCATGGAAATGAGATGTTTGAGTGGTATTGGATACAGAAAATAGGCAAGGAGTTTTCTTTGGTGCTTCAGAAATCTCATGTGACAGCCACAGATGTTGCTGGAGGCTCAGGTCTTTAAAACAGTGTCCCCATCCATGGTCAGGGACAGTTAAAGGCTTTCAACCTGCTTGGACATAAGTCAGTTTTGGGTTTTGCTCTTTATTCTCTTTCCTGTAGCTGAGTTGGGACCTTTTTTTTTATTAAACTTCTCATTTATTCCTTGCTTTTTACTGTTAAATTTTATTTAAAATGTGTCTATTTGGAAAAAAATCACTCAGATCTACCAAAACTTAAAAAAACGGTGTGGAAAATGCTGTTTAAAGAACAGAGAAGCCCATTCCCTTTACACCAAGCTTCTCAAAAGAATAGAAAAAAAAAAAGGAGAAATTAATTCAATTTTTAATGTTTCTGAGGTGTCTGGAAGTAGCTGCTCTGGTCCTTGATGTTGCTGTGGAATTCCCACATCTGTTCCCTCATCCTGGGAAAATTGGGGGCTGCAGGAACCCAGGTCACTCCTGAGGGAAAGAATATCTCTGTATCTTTAATTCACCTGTGCTGGGCTGCTCAGAATCCTGAAGGCCAAAGGATGGAATGATTTGTCTTCTTGAAAAAGGCCAGAAAGCAAAAAAAAATCTCTTAATAACCTCTTCCACTTCATCCTCCCTTCCCTTTCTTTCCATTTGCTGCATCCTGTGCCATTTCTTTACTTTCCTGGCTTTTATTTACTCAGTTCAAACGTGTAACTTTTCTTCCTGAGCTGTAGAAATTCCCTCATTCTCCCTATTACTCATTTTGGACCAAATACAAATCCTGCTGCATCCCAGAGGAATTACAGCTCCTAAAACACAATTCCTTGAAGGGAATCCAGTCCTGAAACCCAGGCAGATGTTGAATTCCAAAGCAGAGAGGTGGAATCTGATTTTGGAGGGGCTGGGAAGTCAGGGGGGAAGGTGAAGGGTCAGCACAAAATCCTGGGATGGTTTTGGGTTGAAAAGGACCTTAAATCTCATCTTATCCTATTCCATGGGATGCCCCACATTGTTCCAGGCTCCAGCCTGACCTTGGGCCTTGGGAATTCCAGCCCAGCCCCTCCCAGGGAGGAATTCTTGTCCAATATCCCATTTATCCCTGCTCTCTGACAGTGGGAAACCATTCCCTGTGTCCTGTCCCTTATCCCAAATCCCTCTCCAGCTCTCCTGGAGCCTCTTCAGGCCCTGCAAGGGGCTCTGAGGATTCCCTGGTTCCTTCCCTTCTCCAGGGGAACATTCCCAGCTCTCCCAGCCCAGCTCCACCCTTGGAAAACACCCAAGCTGAGCTGGAGCAGCTCTCCCAGCCCCTCACTGGGAAATTTATCCCTCTCCTTCAGCAGCCGGGACTGCAGCCACAGTGGGCCGCACTTCCCAGAGCTCCAAATTCCCAGGATTTTCGGGGCAGACCCTGTTAGGAAGGCACCAAAAATCCAATTGAACACAGAATTCTTTGCCAGGACTCTTTGAAGATCGCAAAGCTCCGTTGTTAAGCTCTGCTTTACAAAGCAAGCCGGGCTCGGCCCTGAGCCGGGGTTGTGGCTCCTCCTCAGACTCTTCCAGCCCAAGGGATGGTTCTGCCTGTGAGAAAGAGACAGGTGGCCAAAACACCCAGCAGAAATCCAGTTAGGACCTGGATTTTATGGAATCACAGGATTATTAATGCTGTAAAAGCCCTCTGAGAGGATCCAGTCCAACAATTCCCCGGCAGTGCCTCATGTCCCTGAGTGCCACATCCACAGGGCTTTTAAAGCCTTCCAAGGATGGAAACTCCCGTGCCCAGGCTGGAAAACCTTTTCCTGGGGGGAAATCTTCCCTAATACCCAACTTTGAGCATCCCCTGGCACAATTTGAGGCCTTTTCCCTCACAGGCTGAAGGGCTGGAGTTGACCTTGGGCTGGGTGAAAAGAGCAGGAATTACCCAGAGCAGACACAGGTGACTGAGATGGGCATTTCTGGGGTGGTTTAAACAACTTTGAGTTGTTCAAACCTCACCACTTGCTCTCCTGAATGCTGCCAGGAGCAGAGATTTATCAGCTCCATCCCCTCCCAGAAAGAGGAGGAACAGTCTGGAGCTGCCGCTGGAATTGTCAGAATAAATAGAAAAGGCAGCAAGAACATCCATTGCTGGGTATGGCTTTGAACAGGCTTCACACCACACTTGGACCACCCAAAGAGAAAAACTACTTGAAATTTTTAATTTTTTGGTCTTTTTTCTGGCCACCTTCTGGCTGTGATTTGGAGGGAACATAAATGCTGTATAATTCTCTTGTTTTGCTGCTGTACATTTAGAACCTGGTTCAGATTTTTGCTGTGCCAGTAGAACAAAATCTCCCCTCCTGCCTGGGTTTCCTTGCCTTGATTGAGGAGCAGCTCTGGGATTTTGATGAATGATGTTTGGTCTTTGCTGTGGTCTGAAGAAAAGCTCAGAAAGTGATTTTTCATCACTCTTCTGATTTTTCTGGCCTTGCTCTGTTGCTGGATTGACCCAGCACTGCAGAATGCCGTGGAGGGCGCAGCGAGCACTCCAGGTTCAGCAGCTTCCCCAAGAATTTTATTATTTTACCCATTTTTGGGGTACAGAAAATGTAAATTTCTGTACCTTCAAAGCAGGGACAGAGGGATGGAATGGCAGGCAGGTGATTATTTCTCCAGGTAATGTCCTTCAGCTGGTTTTGATGCTCGGAGGTAAAAGAAGGAATTTTGACTCCTGATTTTCTTGCTGTCTCAGCCAGGGCAGAGCAGGAGAGTCAGGGATTTCTGAGGAAGGGGTGAAGCAGTCCTGGGGCAGAGCTGTGTGCCTGGAGCAGGGAATTAAAGCTAAGGAAACCAAACAATGAGCAAGTCTTTTATTGCAGATCAGACATCTCAGCAAATATTACAGCTTCACTTCAAAACAAACCTCGCAACTAATGAGGTGATAGCCGTGCATATTAATAAACCCCGAGCTGGAGTCATCACACCCACATCAAACATAAACATAAGATTAACACCTCCACCACTTCCTTGGAAGATGTGAGAATGTCCCAATGATAAGTGTGCTCTTTTCCCCAGAGGATAAGAAGTAGAAATGGAAGGGTAATGAGAAATTAACTTAGATTTAAAACAGAATTAGCAATTAAACAAGTCTAATCATGTACAAAGTCAAAGTTTGTCTAAAGACAAACCAAAATCTGTTAGGTTCAAGAATAAGTATAGACCGTGTGCATTTTATCTGCTGTGTTTTGCTTTGTTCACACCTGCTTATTAAAGGAAGTGCAGGAAATCAATGTTACCCACTTGTGTTTAATTGTACTGAGCTGCACTGGTGTGCTTGCCTCTGTGAGTGTTGGGGGTGTTCCTATATATTACATATTTATATTTATGTTTGTTTCATGGTTTGGGCACCTCAGTTCCAGGTTAGGTTTCAAATGGAAGTTGTGGAAGTGAACTTCAGCTGAAATGAGGGAGAATGGAGGACATGGAGATCTGCTCTGTGGCAGGAGGAGGTTTGTGCATCACTCAGAGCATCTCCTTTTCCCCCAGGATATCATCAATCCTAGGATATGCCACTCCTCTTTGTTCTGGGACAGGCACTGGGGAGCATTCCCATCTTCCCAGCAGTGATTGTTTGCTGAGGATTTCACCAAAGATGTCCAGAGCTGCACATTTGACTCTCCCCCTCTCCTCTTTTATCTCTGGGGGATGTAATCAGCATTAGGGCCACCTAATGAGGCACAGACACAAATCCAGGGGTGTTTGTGGATTTATCCACCTGGGATACTGGAAGCTGTCCCTGCCCATGGCAGGGAAGGACAGGATGAGCTTTAAGAGCCCCTCTCACCCCAGCCATCCCAGGATTCTGTGCTTCCACACATTTATTTATGTCTGTGTGTAAACCTAAACACAGGCTTGCCCACTTATAGACCACTTAAGGCTTATTTAAAAAAAGAAATAAACCTGGCCCCTGCCAAACCACGCTGCTGCCTTCCTTGAACCTGGCCTGTTGCTGTTTGCTGTTTTTAAAAGCCAGGAGAAGTCAAGAGACAGCTTTTAAAGCATCTCAGGGCTTTTTTTTTTATTTCTTTTTATTTTTTTCCCCTCCCTCACACAATCATGAATCTGTTTATTTTTCAATGCCACCAACGAGTGAAATGTTTGGTGTTCAAAAAGCTGAACCTCTGATGGTTCTATTTACTGGTGAGTAAGAGCTTGGAGGTCCTGTTTGTTTGCAGAGAGGTGAAACTACTCAGGCAGCTCCATCAGGAGGAGAACTTGTTCATCCTCTATAATGATGCTTCATAGAAATCATTTGTATTAAGCAAGCCCTGGTAATGGGAGCATAATGACCCCTTTTGGCTCTTGTTTAAATTCTTTCACTTCTCAACACTAATATTAATCACAAGCAGATGGTGCAGAACATTATTTATGCACACTCGTTTCCCAAACCCAAAAAAATATTTAACCCATTAACTGAAGTGGGTGATGAGACCAAAAGGCTGATTTGCTGATGAGCTGATTTTCCTCCCTGCTTTCAGTATCAGATATTTTGTGCTGTCACTTCCTTTTCTTTCTGAGGAAATGAACACAACCATTGGAATGTACAGCAAATACTTGATTAAATTCCCTGTTTTTTTTGTGGTGCTGTTGAATTCTGCTGGAAGGACAGCTTGGATTTGCCCTTACAGGGTTGGTTTGACTGCCCCTTGCTCTGCAGGGTCCCTTAATTACCAATTAGCCAATTACCCAGTGCTTTCTTCCCGTTAGGATTTTCTGTCTGCAGCTTTGTGGAAGGATTTTGGGATCCTTTTTGCTACAACTAAAAGCAGAACTGGTTTTGCTCAGTTTTCCCCTAAAAGTTGGACATGCTGGAATATCAGCATTCCCTGTGTGCTGCAGCTCCTGGGGCTGGGCTCATTCCAGCCCAGCTCAGAGGTGGCTCCGTATTTTTAGGAAGAAGGTGAGACAGGAATATTCTGCACCTCCATTCTGCTCAGGATTCAGGACAGAGCCTCTGCACTCTGTCTGCTTGGATTTAGCAAAGTCACTCAGCTCCAGAGGAGGCAAAACTCCATCAAAAGTGCAGCACATGGGTCGAATTCCTAAAGATGGAGATCAGCAAACACAAACTGAGGCTCTGGATGCTCAGGACTGGGGTTTTTTTTGGGGGGAAATGACAGAAATGACAGAAATTACAATGCCAGCAGTGTTGCTACCTCACTTTAAAAGTACTGACCCACCTGGGGTCTGTAGGAACTCCTGGATGCTCCCATTTTTAATCTGGATTTTTCAGCTGGAACATAGGCGAGCGTTTAATCAGCTTCTTAATTGAGGTTCTACGTTTCTACATCGCAGAGACAAATTAAGGCAGCTCCTGTGGCACCAGGAAACAGCTGCTAAACCAAGGCAAACCTAATGATAAACAAAATTAGGTTCTTTTCTAGTTGGGTTTCATCCATCTGCCCCCAACCAGTGCTCACTTTTAGAGGAGGCACTGATTCAAGCTGTTGCTTTTAATCCATTTTGACAGAAGAAAGCAGTGATTAGGCAAAGCCAGGCTCTAATCTTGCCATGTTCCAAGCCAGGCTGTAACGTGAACGTTCTGCTCCCCTGCTGGCATCCCTGGAACAGCAAAGATGTTCAATGTTTCCTGCTCTAAAGCCAGGCTGGATGTTGAGTTTATTCCCATCTTGGTTTTATTTTACAGCAATGCACCTACTTCCTTTGGGGGACTCAGCATCAGGAGATTTGCACTGATACTCTGATTTTGGGAGGATTAAAAAAATTATTTATTATTATTAGTATTATTAATTTTTATTTTAATTTTTATTATATTACTATATTACATTATATTATTTATTATTATATTCTATTATAGTATATAAATTTTTAATATTAATTAACTTTTAATTAATTTTATTATCGTAATGATGTATTTATTATATTTTATTATATTTTATGATGTTTTTATTATATTTATTATTTTATTATATTTTGTTGTATTTTATTTTATATTTTATTACTATATTCTTCTTATTATTATTTTTATTTCATCAATGGTTTATTTATGCACTTCCATCTTCGTTTCAGTCTGATTTTGCAGTTTGGTAAAATCCCTGTGAGTTCTTTTCCTGAGTGCACTTGCACTGGATGTTCAGGAGTTTATTCCCATGTTGGTTTTACAGCAATTTCCTCTGGCATCAGAGGGGGGCTCATCAGCATCAGGATATTTTCCCTGGTTTTGGGATGGACACTGATGATTTATCTGCTGGGATGGGGTTGGCTGATGAGGAACAGTGCAGAGAGCAGAGCTGCAGGATTAATCCCTGCCCAAATGTGCCACTTCCATCTATCCCTATGGAATTCCAGCCTTTTTTTGGGGGCTGATTTTGCAGTTTGTTAAAATCCCTGTGAGTTCTTTTCCTTGGTGTCTGTTCCAGGTTGGTGTCACCTGCAGGTTTAATAATGTAGATTTTTAGTATTGTATAAAATCATCTGTGTAAATACCATATAAAATCTGTGTGGAGAGGAGGTATTTTATATTTTAATATTTTGAATATTTTAATATTTTTAATTTTTTATTTTTATATTTTTATATTTTTTATATTTTATATTTTTAATATTTTTAATTTTTTTATATTTTTTGTATTTTTTTATATTTATGGAATTTTATCTGTGCCTGCTGACTTACAAACCACCACATTTGAAGTAGATATTTGTAATATTTCCTCTCAAAAGCCACATTCCCAATGCTCCCTGGGCATTTGGGGCTGTCCTGTGCAGAGCCAGGAGAAGACATTCTGTATTTATTATCCAGATAATGCAAATAATGTGGGTTTTTTTCCCCCAAAACCAGATGTGAAACCATCCAATATGTTGGTGAACACCCGTGGCCAGGTGAAGCTCTGTGACTTTGGGGTCAGCACCCAGGTAAATTCCCCCTTTTTGCATAAATTCCTTTCCTGGTGTCAAAATCACCTGGCAGCCCCACAGCAAACCCCTCTCTGCTGGGACAACCCTTTTCATTTTTAATCTCTGGGCGACTTTTCCTTCATCTGAATATGATTGTTCATTGTTTAATGACAGTAAAAACTGCTGATATTGTAATTACTACTTACCAATAGCAAACTTCATTGAAATGCAGCTTTGATCTGGGAGCCTTTTGCCCAGACAAAAGGGAGGGCAGAGCAAGAGACGTGTCTGGGGAGCCCAACTGGCCCACAATAAAAATTAATATTGGGAGCAACAATAGTGGTGGGCTTTGACAATGAGCAGCACAAATTTTAATTAATTTCCATTTTGGGCCTCCCTGGAGGACTTCTCTGCTAGTGACCCATGAGCTCGCTGTGCTGTTGATTTGAATTTCAGCACCTTTTTCCTCTCAGCCAAACATGAAGCCCAAAGAGAAGGTCAGCCTTGTATTATGGGCTGGCAGGCTCTGTTGTCCCTCCAGCATTTAAGGGATGAATTGGGGCTTTATTCACATCTGACTAAAAAAAAATGAGTTGATCCTACTCCCTCCTAATTCACTTTTTATATCAGACTGGTTTGGGGTACTAAAAGAAGAAACATCCTGTTTAACACAATTGTTTAAGGTTATCTGCCATAAACTGTAATGCAGCGCTCGTTTAAATTGGAATCCTCATTCCCCAGCCCAGGCGAGATTTAATCATTTTTAACGCCTTGCCGGATAAATCCCTTCCCTTTTTTACATAATTTTTAGTTGATTTATAGGGATGATGATTGTAGGTTAAATGAGGAATAATTGCCCATTTTATTTCCACATTATCTTTATATTGTTCTAACAGACTGTTTTGTCTGATAGCTGGTGAATTCCATAGCCAAGACGTATGTCGGAACAAATGCTTATATGGCGGTAAGTGGATTTATGCGGGAATAACGTTTAAATGGGATTATTTGTCCTCTCTCTCCTCGTGTTTAACGCAGGATAGATCCTAAATCAATCCTCAAAACTCCATCTCTTCCCATCCTTTCTCCTCATCCCGTGGTGCAGCTCCGCTTCTTGTTGAGAGGGAGGAGAAATTTGGAAAAATGGGGGTTTTTTAAAATTTATTTTCAGTTGTTTTTTGCTGAAAACAGAACAGGGAGAGCCAGTTGGAGGTTGAGGAAAAATCCAGATTTTCACTCAGCTTGTGGCTCTTTGCAGGTCACTGGTAGCCCCAGCCCATCCGTTTTTTGGGAATGCTGGAGTTTAGGGAAGCATTTCAGCCTGTGCAGAGGTTGTTGGGCATTCCCAAGGACCCCGTGGGAGCGTTTCCCATGGAAATCTGAAGCTAAAAACACTGGGATTGATAACATAAGGGCATTAAAGTGCAAGTTTTTAATTCAGAACACAGGAAATCATCAGTGCTTCCACTTTTCTCTACAAATTTTGATCAGTCTTTGTTAACTCAAGACCACTTTTGTCCTGTTCCTGTACATTAAAGCCCCTAAAATTCCAGTTTTTTAAATTTTCTTTTAGCTGAGGATGCATCATTTAGGGCAGGGTTTGGGTTCAGAGCTGCCAAGTGCCAGCCTGAAGAGAGAACTGCACAAATCAGAGTGGATTTTCCATCAGATCCATTGGATCCTTTTCAATTCTCCATTTCATTTGTGAAAACCCCTCAGTTTTTAAAGCACTTCACCAACTCTTTATTTTTTGGCCACTCAAATTCTCCCAGCGAACTGCTCCTGCTGTTGATGAGAAAAGAAACTGGCTTAAAAATAAAAACATAAACAGCACAAAGTGGTTGATGCTCGTGTTTTTCAAACCTCAGGGAAGGGGGGGGAGAAATCCATGACCTTTAATCGCTTTCAGGTGGGTTTTTTTATTCTGATTTTTCTTGTCAGGGCTCCCATTTATTTGCTAAGTGCTTTTCCACTCGAGGTGTGCTCATTGTGTGGCTTCTGAAAGGCTCAAGTCACCATCCTAGAAAGACTTGGCTGTCCTGTGTCATCAGAATACTCTGCAGGGAAAATGGGGCTTTTTAACTAAAAAATATCATTTTTAATAGATTAAAAAAAAAAAACCCAAAAAACCAAGACATGGAGATCCAGACAAAAAAAAAAAAACAAAACAAAAACCAAAATTTGAAACAGCTTCAAATAAATCAACTTTTCCAACTCAGCTGTTGCTTCAAACTGATCTTAAGCAGGGCTGAGAATTAAATTGTATTATGCTTTTAGTGCCCAAACCAAGATTACACTTCTCTATCCCAGGTGTACATTAAATAAATTACTTTTTTTTTTTTTTTTTTTGACTTTCTGGATGAATGTGGTGCCTCCATCTCTTAATTGTGAATCAGAAGTTTAAGCTCAAGATGTGCTCCATCTGATTTTCTGTGTTCAAACGGCTTTGCTTCTTGATTGAGTTGTTTGTTGTCATCAAATTTCCAGGCAAGACCTCAAAAAATAATGAAGGTCATAAGCTTTGCTTCACCCATTTGGCAGACTGGCAGTGAATTTGAAACTCTTGATAAAATTTAGGTTTTCTTGGGAAAAAAAAATAAGTTAAAAAAAAGCTTTTTGGGTTTTTTGGGGGGGATTTTTAAAGCTTTTTGATTGAGAAATTAAAAACGCATTTTCTGTAAAATCATTTCATCAGAAACAGAAAAAAAAAAGAGATTGGATGAAAAAACAATCAGTTGTAGAAATTTTGAGGAGAAAATACTTTGGGCTGTGTATTTAGAGTGATCCACGTGTCACACCCTTGATAAATCTGTTACTCCTATTTCCCTTTTTTTTTCCCCCTTACTTCTAAATCCATCTTTTATTTCAAAAGTTGATTTCTTTTCCTATTTCATTCATCATTTGCCTAATTTATTTATTATCCATCTTTTGTGAACCCACAATTCCTCACTAGAAGTTGCTGTTTAAAGCTTGAACTTTTAAGAAGAATAATTTAATGTGGCTCGATGTGAATTATAAATCCACATTTGAATTATAAATCTCATTTGGTGGCTTGGGAAGGGCCCCAAAAATGGGGTGGGTGTTACCACCTTGCTTGGGCCAGCTTAGCACATCCCATAACCACATCATAAAATTAATTTTGGCTGCACATCTGCATCTTTGTGAGGAGATTAAAAATATTTCACTATAAAAACTTGTCAGTATAAAAATCTTCCAGCCTAAAAAAAAAACCCCACGCGGTGCTGTCGCAAACGTTTCTAATTTGTGCTGATTTAGGTTAATTATACTCAATAAATTAAAAAAAATTAAGATAAATTTTTTGGGGTCGCTCACAAACGAGATTTGGTGAAAGAGCTTGAAATTGTGATTTTTTTGGGGGGTTTGGAGGGTTTTTTTGGAGGGAATACGGGGGCAGCAGCGTGGTTTTTATTTAACATTCACGCTGCGATAAAAGCTCCTGACCTGGGAGCAGCAGCACAGGGTAAACATCCAAAAACCACCTTGGGCTGGCACTAATTTGGGAGTTTGTTTTCCAACAAAGGTCTCTGGATTATTAAAGACTGAAAATCCTTTGTAGGTGGCTGGGGCAGACAGGTGCATTAACAGCACAGTGGGGAGAGGAGTCTCAGGGAGCCTTTTATTGTTGCATTTCATGCTGTACTTGACCTTGGAAATGCTTAAATTGTAGCTTTCAAGTAAAAACCAGATATTTTTTACAGCACTCCCTTTCATGAGAGGCATTAAACCTGCTATTAAGAGTTTGGAGCTGGGGTTTTTTTGGTTTTTTGGTTTTTTATTTTCTTACAGGTCAAAAAGCCGAAAATTAAGAAGTATATAAAATAAAATCAAATTGCCACCGTGTGGTGATTCTTTTGGCTTCAGTAACTTTGCTTTTTAACTGTAGATATTCCCCAACCTCTGGACTCCACACTGGGAATTTTTATTTTTTTCCTTGCTGTGGTGCCTGGATTTGGGGAGGGAAGTGGAAAATTGGATTCTCTCGACTTGACCTTGTGCTCTCGTGCACGAGCCCTTGGTTTTCCCTTTGGATTCAACAACCCAAACACAAATCCAAGGCCGACCTCACGAGGTGCACGGACACAGATTTTCCTGGAGAATCCCTGAATTCCCCTGAATTTCCAAAGGGAAGCTTTGAAGCATCTCGGTGTTTTTTTGGTGTCTCCAGCTTCCCGAGGGGCAGCTCCAATCTCTGCTCTGGAATCGGTGAGACCCCAGGGAATGGCTGGAGCTGGGCCAGAGCAGGTTTAAACTGGATTTTAGGAAAAGTTTCTTCCCTCAGAGGGTGTTGGGGCACTGCCCAGGCTCCCCAGGGAGTGTTTGTGCATCCGGGGATGCCCAGGGTGGGATTTTGGGATGTCTGTGCGAGGCCAGGAGCTGGAATTTGACCCCATAGGTCCCTCCCAACTCAAAATATTCCATGATTTTTCCCATTCCCTGCCCTGGAGCAGCTTTTGAGCAGAATCCCTGTCAGTTTGCAAGGCTCAGGAGTTGTTTGTCTCCTTTTCTTCACAGCCTGAGAGGATTTCAGGAGAGCAGTACGGGATTCACTCGGATGTTTGGAGCCTGGGGATTTCCTTCATGGAGGTATGCAGACAGCTCTCCTGTTCACATGCACGTTACAAAGCTCAAATTAACTCTTTAACATCAAAATAACCTCAGAATGTTTTAATTGAATTGTTTATTCTTTAAATTCCCTGTATATTCACTTGCTTCTACCTGTTGCTAATTTTGGCTGTATTTAGAATGGGTTCATTTGAGGTCTTAAATAAAATCCCATGTTTGAGTAGGAAGTAGGGCCCGGTGTGTGGAGGCTTTTTCCTTCTTTTTCCTTTTTCCTTTCCTCCTTTCTTTTTTTCTTTCTCTTTCTCATTCCCTTTTTTCTCCCTTTTTTCTGTCTTTCTTTTTTCTCTCCCCCTTTTCTCCCCCTTTTCTCCCCCTTTTCTCCCCCTTTTCTCCCCCTTTTCTCCCCCTTTTCTCCCCCTTTTCTCCCCCTTTTCTCCCCCTTTTCTCCCCCTTTTCTCCCCATCTTTCCTCATACTAAGGTGAATCTGGACATCCGTTGAAGTGAACTGTAACCAACATTTTTAGCAGAAGATGAGGCAGAAGCTGAGCAGTCTCTTGGCAGATTCCCCATTTTGGAGCCCAGAATTTTTACATTTTCACATCAGAAATTCATTGCCCAAGCCCTTTGAACCCAGGTGCCCGTGGTGAGTTTGAGGTGTGCTAGATCAGCGTGTGAAGCCAGCTCTGAGTGACAGGGGTGACGATCTTGGACGCGTCCCAGGGGAGGGAGGGCTCTTCATTTGTTTCACTGCACCTCTGAGCAGGGGTGAGAGCCCTCACTCAGGATTTTGGGATAGATACAGACAAATCCTTACACTCTCTCAATCATTCTAGCCAAAAAAAGGGCAGAGACTGTACTCCAGGAAGAGTTGGGTGTTGTGTTCTCGGTGAATAGATGCAGGACTTGATAAATAAAGGATTTCCCTGAATTAAAAGCTGTGCCCCAGCAGTTCAGTCATCCACACGAGACATTTGGGGTTTATTTTAGGCTTGTTAGTGGCTGCTCATCAACTCCACCTGCAAGCTGAATTTTATTGGTAAAACTCCTTTCATTTGCATTCCCTCCTCTGCTTTTACACCTTCCCAACCTTTTTCTCCCCCGGATTTCTCCTGAACCAGATGTGCAGGAGCCGGTTTGGGTCTGGGTGCTTTGTTAATTGGTTTGTCAGCTGCTCCCCCGAGACCTCTCCCCACCAGCACCAGCTTGATTGAAGTGCTCTGAGTGATGTTAAATGATGAAAACAAGGACAGTGCCTTAGAAAAACGCCTCCAAAAAGGTGAAAAAGGTGCTCCAAGAGCCACACAAGGTCACTGTCATTAAAGTAACACCCTGTTGACGTGGGGATTGGGAGTGGAGACACTTCTTGTTGCTGTTAAAAAGGGGAGAGCTGGTGTTTGCTGTGGGATTTAAAATCCTCTGCGCTCTAAAGTCAGGCTCCAGCCCCACACCTCGCTGTTGGCACCACGTTAATTTAAAAGAAAAGTCTGGTGGGATGGAGGCAGCCAGGGCTGTGCTGGTGTGTGAGGATATCAAATTGTCAGTAAATCTTCTCATTTCCTTTCGTGCTCTTGTGAGCCCTTCAGATGTCTGGAATTTCTTTGCTGCAAAGCTGTGTGTGATGAGAAGGGGGAGTGTTGTTTGGGAGGGTGAGGAAACTGCCCCAAAAAGAGTTAGTAGGAGAGAGGGGATGGGATGGGATGGGATGGGATGGGATGGGATGGGATGGGATGGGATGGGATGGGATGG